ATAATTTCGAGCTGGATTATTCGCCATTCGATGACTGACTGACAAATGGATTAATTTTCGTAGATTTTCAACAACGACCTGTTCTAATTTTGTTTCGTCTCGACTTTGAAGGGAAAATATTGTCTGTCATTCTGGTTACGTTTATCGGCTGCGTTTCACTTTGAAATTAATTGTTCCCGGTAGCTGAGGTTCCTCGACCGTTCTGTAAATTCGTGAACAGGGTATGATAACAGTAATCGATTCAGTCCGCAGCTGTGTCTATTTAGGTTACTAAAGTCTTTATGGTAACGTAGAAGGCTTTTAACATGATTTAAACAGATTACGTAGAAAGCACGTCTGCCTCGTGTTAAAGCAATTACGTGTTGTAATGAAATTTCCTTAGAAATAGTTATTCGGGCAAATGTATCTACCACTTTGAAGACATTACACGCAATCATGTCTACACTCTCTTATTAGACACTAGCGTGCTCTTCGGCTTCCTAACGCGAGGACAAACGATATTATTCTTAAGAACAATATTATAAACGAGAAAGATCATGATAAAAAGAATAATAAGGATCGTATGAAACAAAATACATGCGTCTGTATTTGCCTTGATAATTCCTCGGAGAGAAGATCGTCCGAAGAATTCAGTAATCTCGGACTTCACGGTTCACGATTTCCAAATTACAAAACCGGAGAAGAAGAAGGAAGAAAAATTCTCACCGATATTATTGTTTCCTCGTCGAGGGACCAAGCTCAACAATCGCGAAATGCACGATAGCCTGCCGATCGAGGAGAGGACGAAAATAATCCCTCCGCCGAGAGCAAACATCTTCACCATTCACGGGCTATTTAAATACAACGGCTCGCCCTCGCGGCCTTAATCCGTAATCGTACGATCTAATTCCCGGATAAACGGGTAATAAGATCGTCCACCCATCCGAGAGCCCGGTTAAGAAAAGGAGAGAGAGAGAGTTTTAGAGAGAAATCAATTTATTCGAGGCCAGAGGGGAACCGGTCGCAGAAAACGAACGAAGCGGCCACTCGGGTACTCGACCGAGTCTCTCTCTCTTTCTCTCTCTCTCTCTCTCTCTGGCCAGACATGGAAATAAAAAGAAAAAGGAAAGGTTGGTGAAGGAGAGGAGAGGAGGCCTAGCCGCGGCGCTGACGTGAATATAATGAGCCGCAGTGGCAATTTCAGAGCTTAGCTCTGAAAAGCCCCGTGCTTGGTGCAAGCAGCAATGGGATTTCAGACGCGCTTCGTGATCGTCGACATCACCGAAAATCATTTGCTTTTCAAGCGCGAGAATCCCGAACATCATTGTCCGCGCGAAACACGACGAAGACTTTGTCCTCGAAATTCTGTCCTCGAATCATGTGTCAAAAATGTTGTAGAAAGCACACATTGTAATTTATCACGTTCCGTGGCAAGCGATTTTTGCCTTTTGTTGTCGTTCAGGCCGTTTGATATTTTCATCAATCGATAAGTAGTTCTCTTGTTTAGAGTAGCTATCACATCGTGTGGTAATATTACTAGAAATATATTTTACAGAATTACATTTGTCATAAAATATAATGTTTTCAACGCATTAAGTAAATATGAGTGCGTGTACCACCGGTGGTACACGTGGCCTGAAGGACCAAGTTCAACGTGTATGTACATGGCACGGAACGTGTTAACTCTGTTAACTTGCCGGTGCGTTGGGAATAAAATTTATTTCGATTTATACAATCCGTAATGGAGAATTAAGAAATAGAAAAGCGAAAATCTCGAAGCGGCACGCGTGATTTATTATGCGCACAGAAGTGAGGAAATATTATCTCATTTTACGAAAAATAGTATTTCGATAATAAATTACTGCAATAAGAAGATGCTTCTTTGCATTTGCAGTTTGCTAAAATTCATTAATTCGAGTCGGCAAATGCACATTTATTATTACCGACCGCGAAAATTTCACTCCGCATTTCCAATGGGAAATTTCGTTTCGTCGAGTACTTTTCATTGAGTAAATTTGTTACTCAATATCGTCCACTAATAGAAAACAAAAAAATAGCATATAAATTCCATCCACATTCCTGTCCATTATTCGAACAATCATCCAC